GGACGGAGCGCTGACGTCTCTGTTTCCATCTCGTTCTCTCCTCGTTCTGTTTCTTAGTTTTTCTCATCTTGCTCTCTCTCTCCATCCCTCTCTCTAGTTCTCTCTTACCTCTTTCCGTCTCTTCTCTCTCTCTTTCTCTCTCTGTCTTTTGTCTCACTCCCCTGTTTCTCTCTCTTCTGTCTCTCTGTCCTCTTCTCTCTCTCTCTCCATCCCACTTTCTAGTTCTCTCTTATCTCTTTCTGTCTCTTCTCTCTCTCTGTCTTTTGTCTCACTCCCCTGTTTCTCTCTCTTCTGTCTCTCTCCTCTTCTCTCTCTCTCTCCACTCCTCTTTCTAGTTCTCTCTTATCTCTTTCTGTCTCTTCTCTCTCTCTGTCTTTTGTCTCACTCCCCTGTTTCTCTCTCTTCTGTCTCTCTGTCCTCTTCTCTCTCTCTCATCCCACTCTAGTTCTCTCTATCCCTTCTCTCTGTCTCTCTCTCCTCTTCTCTCTCTCTCTCCATCCCACTTTCTCTCTTTCTCTCTCTAACCCTTGATCACTCTCCTCTACCTCTTGTACCTCTTTCTGTCTATCTATCCTCTTCTTTCTCTCGCTTTCTGTCTTTCTTTTACCCTCTCCCAAACCGTTCATCACCCTCACCCCTTCATCTCGCTCTCTCTCTCTCTCTCTCTCTCGATCCTTCCCTCGAGTTCTCTCTTACCTCTTTCTGTCTCTCTCTTCTGTTCTCTCTCTCTGTCTTTCGCTTCACTCATTTGTTTCTCGCTCTATCTTTTACTTTCTCTCCTTTTTCTACCCCCCCCCCCCTCTCTTTGTCTCCATCTCGTCCCTCCTCTCCCCCTCTCTCTCCTCTTTCTGTCGCTGTCTCTGCTCCTCTCTCTTCTTTCTCTCTCTCTCCCTCTCTCCTGTTCACTCAAGCCATTGGTCACTCTCCTCTCTCTCTCTCTTTCGCCTCACTCACTTGTTTCTCTCTCTCTCTCTCTCTCTTTGTCTCCATCTCTTTCCTGCTCTACCTCTCTCTCAACCTCTTTCTGTCTCTGTTTCTCTCTCTCCCTTTCTCTCTTTCATCCCTCACTCAATCTCTTGGTCACCCTCCTCTATCTACCTCTGTCTCACCTCTTTCTCTCTATCTCTACTTCTCTCTCTCTTTTCTCTCTCTCTTCCCCCTCTCTAGCCCTTGGTCATCCTCCTCTATCTCTCTCTCACCTCTCTCTCTCTCTCTCATCTTTCTCCCTTTTCTGTCTTTCTTTTACCCTCTCCCCCCTCTCTTCTCTCTATCCCTCTCTCCTATTCACTGTTCTCTCTCTCTTTCGCATCACTCACCTACTTTCTTTCCTCTTTCTATCCCTCTCTCCCCTCCTCTCTCTCTCTTTGTCTCCATCTCTTCCCTCCTCTACCTCTCCCTCACCTCTTTCTGCCTCTATCTCCTCTTCTTTCTCTCTCTCTTTCTATCCTTCTCTCTTTCTCTCTCGCTCTCTCTATTCCTCCCTTGCTCTAGCCCTTGGTCACCTTCCTCTACCTCTCTCTCACCTCTTTCTATCTTTCTCTCTGTCCCTCTCTCTCTTTCTTTCCCCTATTGTCATTCTTCTTCCACTCTCTCTCTTTCTCCTTCTCTCTCCGTCCCACTTTCTCGCTCTAGCCACTGCACACTCTTTTCCGTCTTCTGTTTCTCTTTCTCTTCCGCGTCTTTTCTCTCTTCTTTCTTTCTCTCCATCTCATCTCATCTCATCGTTTCTCTCTCTATCTCTTACTTTCTCTCCTCTTTCTATCCTCCCTCTCCACCCACTCTCTCTCTTTCTCTCTCTCACTCCCTCGCTCTCTGTCTCTCTGTCGCTGTCTCTGTCTTTCTTTTACCCTCTTTCCCTCTCTTCTCTCTCTATCCCTCTCTCCTATTCACTCAAACCACTGGTCACTCTCCTCTCTCCCTCTTTTGCCTCACTTACTTGTTTCTCTCTCTATCTCTTACTTTCTCTCCTCTTTCTATCCCACTCCCCCCCCTCTCTTCCTTTGTTTTCATCTCTTCCCTTCTCTACCTCCCTCTTTCTCTCTTTCTGTCTCTCTCTCTCTCTCTAGCCCTTGGGTCACCCTCCTCTAACCCTCTCTCTCTCTTACCTCTTTCTGTTTCTCTCTCCTCTTCTTTCTCGCTCTTTCGGTCTTTCTTTTACCCTCTCTCCCTCTCTTCTATTCACTCAAGCCCTTGGTCATCCTCTTCTCTTTCTCTCTGTCTCTCTCTCTTTTGCGTCACTCCCCTGTTTCTCTCTCTGTCTCTTAGTTTCTCTCCTCTTTCTATCCCTCTCTTCCCCCCTCTCTCTCTCTCTCTTTCTTTGTCTCCATCTCTTCCCTCCCTCTATCCTCTTTCAGTCTCTATCTCTGCTTCTTCCTCTCTCCGTCCCTCCCTCGCTCTTGCCCTTGGTCATCGTCCTCTACCCCTCTCTCTCCCCCTCTCCGTCTCTCGCTCTCTCTCTCTTTCGCCTCACTCACCTGTTTCTCTCTTACTTTCTCTCTTCTCTCTCTCACCTCTTTCTGTCGCTCTCTCATTCTCCCTTTCACACTTTCTGTCTGTCTCTTCTACCCTCTTTTCCTCTCTTCTCTCTATCCTTCCCTACTATTCACTTTAGCGCTCGGTCCCCCTCTTCTCTCTTTCTCTTTTTGCCTTCCTCACCTGTTTCTCCCTCTACCCCTTCCTTGGTCACCCTCTTTTTCACCTCTTTTTGTTTCTCTCTTTCCTCTTCTTTCTCTTTTCCTCATCTAACCCCCTATCTCCCTCTTTCACGCTTTCTGTCTTTCTTTTTTCTCTCTCTCCCTCTCACCCACCTTCACCACGCTCTCACCTCTTTCTGCCTCTCTTTCCTCTTCTTTCTCTCTCTCGGTCACAGTCCTTTCTCTCTCTCTCTCTCTCTCTCTTTCTCTCAGTCTCGCACTTTTACCTTACTTCTTTTCCTTCTGTCTGCTTCACACTTCTCTTTCCCTCTCCATCTTTCTCGCTCCATCCACTGCAAACTCTTTCCCCTACCCATTTTCTCTCGCTCTCTTTTACGTCTCTTCTCTTCTCTTCTCTCTTCTCGTGTGTTGTGTTTTGTCTTTGTTCTGTTCATCCTGAAGCGTGTGAAGCGGCACAGAGGAGGTGAAACGTGCTGACGGGGCTCACGTGGAGGAGACATTCAGCTTATTTGTAGCCTGTTCAGTTTCAATGGATTAGCGAAGGCTGCACTTTTTTCAGGACCATCATTTCCTCCACAAACAACAAAATCTCCGTCTTATTCTGCATAAAAAAAAACTGCTCACCCAGTCGTTTCCATCTGTTCAGACGTGTTCTGAAATGTCATTCTTCTATTAGTTTGTCCCTTCATATTTCAGTCTTTTTGTCAAACCTTCTCTCTCTGTTGATGCCGTTTTTGGGTTGAAGTTTTATATAGAGACTGCAGGGCTTAACGCTCAATTCAGATTTTTTTTTTTTGTGTGAAATCCGATGTTTTTGCGAGGTCGTTCACATTTCCAATTAAGTGCGACTTGTATGTGACTCCAGTGTGAACTTTAAACGGCCCGAAAGTGTCCCACATGTGACACTGGAGACACGACGACGTCAACCGCAGCGAGCGTCTCTGTGTTTACGGAAGTTGTCCAAACATGGACGCGAGCATTGAGCACCTGGAGATTTTAAAGTTCCTCTCGTACCGGAGCCAGAACATGAACAACTTACTTGTTTTAAGGAGGAGATTGAGAAGGAGAAGGACGAGGTTTTTGGTCGTGGTGTTTTGTGGGACAGCGGCAGCGACGTCCGTTGAAAGGAACGTGTGGATGTGGAGACGGAGCCAAGAGTGGTGGGATAGAAATGTGCTTCGCTTCAGTGACACAGAGTTCATTAACGATTTTCGTATGATGAGAAGAACATTTGTGTACATTTGTCGCTTGTTGATAACGTGTAGGTGGATGAATGCACTTTGGCCGTTCAGACTGAAGTCAAATGTCAAAAGATCAGATATGTATCGGTTTCAGGAGCACATATCCAAGTGTCCTGGGTCACATTTGAAAAGATCGGATCTGTGTCGTTCAGACTGTCATTAAAAGATCAGATACAGGTCACATAGGGGCCAAAAAAATCGGATTTGGGTCACTTCAGGCTGCAGTCTGAACGCAGCCTTAGTGAGTCTCACGTCACCAAGCCTCGGGGTTTCAAAATGGTCGCCCCTTTAAGTCAATGGGCCGAGCTCAATGGCGCGTGACTCCAGATTCGTCTTTAGCCCGGCGAGGTTCTTCCGGTGGCTCTGGGCCGATTGAGCATGTGCAGAAGTGCTCTTTTCTCCCGCGGGCACACGCAAATGCAACGAGCGTGTGCAACAAGCGCGGTCTTGTGTATCATGTGATCGCTTTAACCAATCAGAACGAGAGAAGTTAGAGCAGAGCGGAGCTGGAGCTAACGACTAAAAAGATGTTTTTAAGGCACGAGTTCATGAGGGAACTCGTGTCTAGAAGTTCAGTCGTGTCTAGAAGCGGCACATTGCACTCGCTTTTTCGGTTCGTTCCTCCGTTCCGTTCCTCGTCGGCGTGGAGCGATGAGTGCGGCTGTGGGTGTTTTTCGCCGCGCGGTCGCTGTCTGCTCCGTGTGTGTTTGCGTGCGCTGCGGGTGGTGCGGCTTTGTAGTTTACTGAAGTCGTACTGGGACACCAAACAAACAAAACAAAACAAAAACAAACAATGAAATGAAATGATAAAGCTCATTGTTGCGGTTACAGAGTGAGGAGCCACAAGATCCTGATGGGAACCGGACTCAGAAGGAGCCGGAAGAGCCTCTTGACACATTTGGAATTTTTTTTTATTTGGAATTCAGCGATATCCATTTATATATACGGTCTCTTTCTATATAATTCTTCATCCTCGTCTCTCGTTCTGTCCCCTCTCCCGTTTCTCTCTCCCTCTCTGTGTCTCCACCTCATCCTTTTCTCCTTTCCCCACTCTCCTCCTCTTCTCTCTCTCCGTCCTCCGTTGTTTCCCGACGTCTGTACATAC